TGTGTGTATGTGTGTGTGTATGTGTGTGTGTGTGTGTGTATGTCTGAAGTGCGTCAAAATGACTCCTATTTTCGACGCAACCAGACAGTCCTAGCGTGATCAAAAATGAACTGGTCCATTACGCTCACTAATGATCGTCTGTCTGGTTGTGTCAATGACATCCAATTTTCCGTTACCTATTTTGCGTGCGCTATTCATTTTAACTTATTCTGCTAAAATTAGCATATATTTGTACAGTTACACGGATTACACGTGTTGCATGTGTAACTGCACAAAGTGAACTTATGAAACCTTTATCCAATAAGAGGGCTAAGAATGATAGGATGGAATATTGATAATTTTTTTTTGAATTAGTTTATACAAAATTGCAAATTTCCTTCTGGGAAAAAATTCTCCCCGAGAATAATTTCGAAATTATCATTCTTTCATAAAATCATTTAGTTTTATTCTTTCTTTTGAATGAAATTTTAGAATGAAAATGGAGGATCAATGTAAATTATGAATATTGTAAATATTGCCGAATTTGATTCAAAATATTTGAATTTGCAAAAGTTGTAATTTGAAATTATATGTAAATTCGAATTGTTTTTATTTCCTAATTTCTCTGCAAAATGTGTTGCATTATTTTAGGCAAAGCAATGGGCGAAGATAATGGACCGGTTTGTTCATCTGAAACCGTCCTTGCCTCAACTGCTAAGGTTGGTTCATTTTTTTTCTTTCGTTTACTCAAATAAAATAACAAGTGGAATTGAAATAATTAATGGAAGAACAAATGGAATAGAATTGAAATAATTGATAGAACATAGATAGAATAGAATTGAAATGATTAGTAGAATATCAAGTAGAATAGAATTGAAATAATTAATAGAATAGGAATAAAATATTGAAATGTAATTAAAAGGATAAAACATAAATATTCTCTTCTCCGACAGTTATGCATAAAGGAAAAAAAATCGAACTTTATTATTTTTTTCTATTGGACTGTTAATTTTACTTTAATCTCTTTTTTGGTCGCATTGTTTCTTCTTTGTTCGTTAAAATTCTACAAGAAGCAGCAATAGATTTATCTTAAAAGCTATGCTATAGTTATTTTTTAAATTCATTGCCGCTTAATGAAGTCTTAAGATTTCATACCAGAATAAAGTTATTTTTTTTTAATTTAATAATTTTTTTTCGGTCCACTTTTATTATATATGCTATTATAAAATATATCGGTTACATTTTTAAAGCAGCAAATTTAATCACTAATAAATCCATGATTCAGTTATTTTTCTTAATGACTTAATGAACATTTCAGACATTATCGGAAGATGGACAAGAGAATTCACCGCATAATTCTGCCAATGATTCCGGCCATGAAACATCATCACCTGATTTACCATTAACACCTGTCGAGGATAAAGCCGTTTCGCCTGGTTATTTTTTTCTTTTCATTTTTGGTTGTTATATTTGTTTAAGTCATTTAAAATTAAATTGTAATCCGGGAGCTTTGCAATTAATGCACTTCCACATTTCTCATTAGAAAAGAAATTACCAATGATCAATCATCAGTTGTTTCAATTCTTTTTCTTTCACATAAAAAGTGCCAATAGATGTTTCATTGCATTTTTCTTTTTCTTACAAAAACGAAAGAACATAGGAGTGATTATAGTTTGACTCTGTTATTGATAGATAGAATAGAATGATGATGAAATGGATAAAAAATTATCATTATTGTTGTTTTTTGGGTAGAATAAGATGTAAATGAAATGTTAGCAGTTTCATTTCTAATTTATATAGTGAAATGCTCATCAATTTATCTATAATGTTACGCATTTATTTATTGAAACTTAACATTTCGAAATTATGATTAAAATCATATATCATATAAACATGATATGCATTTATGAAATACTATTATACAAAAATGTAGCAAATGCATGATTTACAAAAATTTTTTTTTGAAGAAAATGAGGAAAGCACCATGAATAACCCCGTGTAAATAAGGGATGAAACTGTTAAGATTATCCTGAAGTGTTTGTTATATTGAGTTCAAGCTTCTCCATATATATGCACTTTCTTTTCTAATGAAATTACTGATGGAGCAGAGCTAATTCATTTACAGTTTCACTTTCACTTTGGCTATTTCATTAAAATTGAATATTGATCACTTATTAAACTTAATCTGTTTCCAAAATTATACATGGGTGAAATATATGCATGAATTAGAGAATAATTTCTTTTGCAAGTTGTATTAAAATTTTTATGGAATTTTATGTTTTTTTTTTCATTCAGAAAAAATTTTATAAATTATTCACAATGAATGAGAGAAGATTGAGATAAAAACTACTTGATTTAATCTTCCTTTAAGAAAATGTTTCAATTATTCTTACTCGCTTGGTCTTCTACTTTTAAAATTGATTTTTCTTTTAAATCTTTTTTCGAAATTGGTAAGAATAAGAACTTCATGATTTCTTTTAAGTCATAAAGACGTTGGGAAAATGTTTCAATATATTTTTTTAGCAGCAGAAAAAACTGGTATCGATGAGCCATTATGTCCGAGTGGTGAATGCGAAGCGATGTTTCGTATTCGTATTATTGCACCTGGGGTAGAACCATTTGATTTACAGGTATTCACTGATTGAATTGTCTCACCTTAATTAGAATGTCAATTCCGATTATAAATTCAAATATTAGTTAGTCCTTGCGAAATTTCGGTGTTTTTAATCTTAAAAATACGCTAAAATTTGGAATCAATAATTTTGATGTTTCAAATCTATAACCTGACAACAAAAAAAAAAACTTCAATTTCAACATTCAGTTTCGTCGTCTGGATTTGTCCGCATGTTTTAATTTTTTCATCTTTTCTGTTTTACTTTAGTAAGCTTCTTTTTTCTGGAATTTTGTGTTTTGAATTGGAAACATACTTATTAAAATTACAATTTTCTAAAAAACAAACAAAGAAGGCATTAATCAATGTTAGTTGATAATAATACTCGTTGAGAAATTGAGAAAAAAAAGTTTTCTTTTTTTTTTCAGGTAAGCTCAAATGAAATGGTGCAAGAACTACATCAGGTGCTGTTAGAACGTGAAGCGACATGCCATCGCACGTGTTTCAGCTTGCAGTTAAACGGCGTTTCATTGGATCATTTTACCGAATTGAAAAATGTTGCTGGTCTTAAAGATGGATCTGTGTTAAGAGTTGTCGAAGGCAAGGATATGGCTTCTTCCATTTCAATGTAATTTGGTTGGGAATTTCTCGGAAAGCCAAAATGTGCCAAATATTATTTAAATGGATCTTTATATAAGTCGAATTTTACCAAGTTATCCTCAAACTCTGTTACATGTATGGTCATTATTAAAGTATGAAAAAAAAAAGTCAGTCATGGATGTGATGCATACTTGTATCTCAAAATTGTGGTATAAATACATACGTATTGAACGTGAAAATGATATTTAAAAAAAAATGAAATTCATGCGAATTTGTTAGACTATAGAAAAAGTATTTGTAATCGTCGGCATATAAACAAAAAACAAACAAACGTGGTATCTTTCTAGTTGAATGTATCATCGTTTAATATCAAATTTTTGAAACTTTTAAATTTGTCAAAATATCATATGATTTTTTTTCAGAACCATATACAACTCGAGAAGCTCGAATTCATGTTCGCCATGTTCGTGATCTAATTCGTTCTCTTGATATGTCTGATGCTGTTAATGGTACTGATGGTGCATCACTATCATATCTTGCTACAATGACACTAGGTGATCGTAGAAAAAATACTGATAAGTAAGTGTTTCACCATAAAGCAAGTTTTTATAGCGAAAAAAAACTGTTTTGTTGGTTCATCGATCTGTTGAACAGTGTGCTATATAATATGAATTTTTGCTATAATGCATAGCAGCAATGAATAGAGCATTTTGTTTGCTGAAGTTATTGGTTAAAAAGAAGAATTAAAAAGAAGTTAAATAAGTCATGAACAAATAGTTTGTATTGAAAGATGCGAAAAATAGCACTGAGTTAAAAATATGCATTTTTAGATCATTAGAATGTTCTCCTCCAGATTATGTCCTGCCAGGTTATAAAGAACGTCCACTGATACCACTACTGCCAGTAATGAGTGATCCTGTATTAGCGTTGAAAAGTTTGGCAATTTCGTCGTTTAATCCACCATTAGGACATCGAAAATTGAAGGCATGTATCAAGAACTATTTCTAAAATTATTTTAGGAAATTGATAGCAATGAAGAGATAAGGTTTAAGAGTTCGATATATTGATATTTAAAAATCTCAGGGAAATTTATTATATCATCTTACTAAGTATGAATGTATTATGACAGGGAGACGTTCTCTATTTGACGGTTGATACACGAGAAGGACGACGCTATCATATAACTTGCTGTACGAAAGGCTTTTATGTGAACGCAACCACTGAAGCAGGTTTCCAACCAACGCCTTCACCGTCGCATAGAGTTATTCATCATTCGCTTTTGGATTTACTTTCGTCGATTAGTATTTCGTTTAAACGAGCTATGGCGTTGATTTTGAAGAAACGTTCCGAAAAGCATATTTTCGAGCGATTGCCAACACCATATCAGGTATTACTATTTCATTTTCCTTATAAATTGGAATTTTAAGAGTGAAATAGTCAGTGTAATGAACTTTGATCAGAAGACTGACCAAATTGGCATTACTGTCGGTATTTTATTTAAGATGTATTTTCACGTACGTCTATAAGGAGTATCTAAGCGGAATTGCATTCCTTATGCATAATGTAACTCTTATGTATATAATTGTTTTTTGGATAATATGGATAATTGTTTTTTGCAGTTGAATTGGAAATTGAAATTGCAATTTTGGAAATTTGCAAGTTTCTATACAAATCGAGGAAATTCGAGATTAAAGCAAAAGGTGGAAAGAATATTGCTCAGTGACTTTCAGGATTTGTTTGATTTTATTTTTTGTAGGTAAATTCGTGGGTAGCACCGATATTCGAGCAAACCGAAGATGGAATTCGTGCAGAAGACTGTACACAGCCTCATAAAATTGGTCTTGAAGATCATATTCCTGGACAAATTCGTGATTGGAATGAGGAACTACAAACGACCCACGAGTTACCACGTGAAACACTCGGTGAACGACTCATTCGGGAAAGAGCTATCTTTAAAATTCATAACGATTTCGTTTCTGCTGCGATTAAAGTGATTATATTATTTATTGCATCTCATTTTAAGTATCTCCTTACTAATAGCAAAAATCTACTTTTAAAATAATTCAACGATTATTACCACGTTTCAAGAACTTCATATGCTTAAAAATAAATGATAGGAGAGATACCAGTGACACTGTCGGACTTTTCTAGAAATGTATCATAGCAAGAAGTGAGAGGAAGTCTTATAGCTTATGACTATTTATGTTTGCCCAAATAAATTTGCTAAATTTTAACAAAAAAAGATCGCTTTTACTGTGATTTACAATATAATTGTTTTTCTGGGAGCAATGGCAGTTGTCGATGGGAATGTTGTTGCAATAAATCCGGCAGACGAACCGCGAACGCATATGTATATATGGAATAATATATTCTTTTCGCTTGGGTTTGATGTTAAAGATCACTACAAGGTTAGATCATCATGAACAGAATTTTAATTCATTCTTATTTCATAATTAACAATAATTTCATATGTTGAAATAATTTTATTGAGTTACAGTTACTTAATAAAATAAAACTTGAGTGTCAAAGAACTTTAGTTTTGTAACAATTTTTACGGTTACATTTTAGGAATTGGGAGGTGATGCAGCTGCTCATGCGGCAACATCAAATGATTTGCAAGGTGTACGAGCTTATGCGCAACTTGATAATCCAAAACTTTTTACTCTGGGTATGGTCATAGTTGACTACAAGGGATTTCGGTAATTTTTTTTTTTTTGAATTGCAAAAAATATCCGTAATCAGTGGAGATCTGGTTTAAATTTATTCATATAGGGGAAGCCCTTTACAACAGTTCTTAATTTCTGATCTTTTAATTTTAAATTTTCTTAACAAATAATCATTTATGCTTATATATCATAAATTTGTGCATCATTCATTTAAATAATGGATGAAATGCATTACAGAATTACTGCACAATCAATTATACCAGGTATTTTGGAAAGAGAGCAGGAGCAAAGTGTTGTTTACGGGTCGGTCGATTTTGGCAAAACAGTTGTTAGCTCTGAGGTGATTTTTTTCCATTCAGTAGTAACCATATGATTTACAAAATTAGGGAATGATTTACATCTTGATTGATTATTGATAAATCTAGTTTTTCCCCTATCAGATGCATATGCAAATGCAACAAACATGTATTGAAAGATCATCGGACGAATGTCTGTATCCCAATGAAATTTTCAACAAATCAGACAAATCAGGAAAAGCACCCATTTTTATAATGAACCCAATACTACATATATATATGTATATGTATATATAATAACGAAGAGATGAAGATGAATTCATTGCTTATTGTTTGTTTAATTATTTGATAAATAACAATGTTTAAGCATTATTAGTCAGTGATTTATTAATAGGTTAATGTTCAAGCAAAAAGCAATAAAATCAATGATAATTAAAGTAATGCTAAAACAGATAAAACAAATGATGCATCCTTTTTTTTTCAATTTTCATTTTTTTCAAAGATTTGTTTAGAATAGCAATAGACAATGGTGAATATGTGAAAAATGGATTTAATTATTTAATGAAGTTAAAGCAATTTGTTAATGTTCATGCAAAAAAAAGGGAAAAGCAGCACGAATGAATGATGATCAAAGTACTATCAAAACAGGTAAAAGTAGACAGTATATATAAACAAAAAAATTTATTTTTTCTGTTTTTTTTCAAATTTCATTTTTTAAGGATTTGTTTAGAGTAGGTAATAGCGAAATAATAATTGAGGTAGAGTGTTAGAAGAAAGAGAAATATTTTTTGGATAGTATAGTTACTCGATCAAACTGGATTTGTTTTATTGTTTTGGTATGAATTACTCCTTCAACTTCTCTCTCTTCTCCTGCTTCTCCTTTTTCGTCTCTCCTTTCTTTTCTTACATTTCTTCTTGATCATTTGAGAAATTTTACAATATCCATTTTCAAAATTTCCAGTTTTTGTGACTTTTAATTTTCTACATTTCGTATTTGCTCTTCTCTCTTCTTATATAAATAAATACTTTAACCACTTTGATGCTGCAATAACTGAGGAAGTAACAAAAGTAGTTGTGATAGAGTTAGTAGTAGTGGTTATTGGAACTAGTATTACTTTTACAGAAATAAATAGTTGTCAAGAGAGGAGAAAGAGAAGATGAAAGGGGAGAAGGAAGA